AAAAGTTGTTGAACGACAGTAGGCCACCTTTGCTGTTGGATAGTTGTTCGAACTCACTATTAAGCATCTGTTGACCTCGATAGACAGTCAAGAAGGTTCGAGTTTTCGATTGTTGGACGTGCAACTGTTCGATCTGTTGATGAAGGTCACGTATGAAGAAACCCATCTTGATCAAAATATTAGTCTCCATCGTTCGCAAAGCCCGATTTAGTATGGAATAGATAAATACTTCTGTTGTGTACCAGAAAATGGCTAAATTAGGTTTATAATCTTGCTCGAATTGATCAATGATTTTCAATTGAGATGCATTATCATGATACAGTTCGCGTAACAGTCGAACAAATTCTTCCTTTGCGTGCTTGTCATAATCAATATCAAGTAAGATCTGTTTGAGTATTTGTGAATACATAAGCAATGGCGGGAGCTCATTCAAATTTTTGTTTGAGTAATCACCTGGAGGGACAATGCTGATGGAATCTAGGTCGTGATTACATTGCTTCGTGTCTTGTTTCAGTAAGTTACAAAGGGGTTCAATTTGAGTGAAGAGTCCTTTAACTTTTGTCCAGCCATCCGGCAACACCTCACAATTGCTTGCATCGTGACAGAAGACATAAATTGAATAAAGCTGAGGTATTTGATGGATAAGAGGAACAAGCGTTTGATTAAGAGCACCTGACACAATCGTGAAGACTTTTTCATCTTTGATTTCAGTGAGAGAATCGATACATTGGTCAACATCGATGAAAATATCGATTGTATTGACGATTCGCCGGAGTTGAGTAACCGCATTACGATAACCACCGGACTCATTGATGTTTGAGTCTAACCAAATGAGAATGAAATTTTGGCCAAGGAAACGATCTCTTGAAGGTAGGGAAGCATCAATCTTGCTATTAGGTATTTCTAGATCATATTGTACTTGATTCGTTCCATAGGTAGTTTTTGACGAGTTCAGCATTACTGGAAATTTGCCGGTAGTGAAATATACTAAATTGATTGAAATTATTTACCTCGTGTGTGTTGTATTAAAATCCTGTTTTCTACGGTGACAGACAGTTCTATTTTATTGGAAGAAATGAAAGTAGTGCTGTGCATAAAGGGCAATAATGGCGTTAAACGTCATGGTGTATGCTTTTTGAAAATTTTCATCTATATAACATTTCTTCACATTTCTGGCATCGAGCTGCCTTTTTCACTTACGAAAGTCATAGAATTTAAATTATTGAGATAGAGAATTTCTTCCCAGAATATGAGGAAAAAAGAAAAACTACGTGAAGTATAGGAGCTGTTTACAAATCAAGTTTAAATCAGCCAAAAATTTCGATAAAAATTGATGTCTCCAAATTTATTATAGGCTGTGGGTGAGAATAATTATTTGATGCACACCCATACTCAAATAGTTCAGAGTTTTCTTGCACCTTATTATGTCTAGTTCGTTTATCCATCTACCCTGTCCAGACTGCTCTGTAAAATAGATTAAGAAAAAAAATGCGGACAGTGGATGGATTTAAAGATCTGGCATGACGATATTTAATACTTAACTCGTTTTCTAATGTCAAGTCATGTCTTACCAACAGACTGATGTTAATTTTTACAGCCCAAATATTCAGTAGACAATGATGCATTTACAACACGGCTGCGACTGTAGACGCCAATGACGAACAAATAAATTTAAGAATGAATTAGACTATTAAAATAAATATGTAGTTTTCATCGTGAGATGAATTTAATTGAAAATAAAGTAATATCATGATACGTATGAAAGCTATTTTCTCTACATATTCAAATAAAAATTTTAAATGAATATCGAAAATTCTATTAAATAGTGTGTAAAAATGTTTTATGATATGTAGAAGTTGATTTATCGATCATATAGTCCATTTATTCGAATGGCAGGCACTGAACGAATCTTTCTCTCCAGAAATACTAGATCACCTACAAATAGAATCAAACTTGACTTGATTTTGATCTGTTTGAATATTTTTTTATGAAAGTTTTTCTTTAATTGAGCTGCTTTTTGAAGGATTTTTCCAAAAAAATAAGCATTTCAATCTATAAAGTTCGTCTGAATGTTATACTTTTTGACCGATGATCATACACAAGATCAAAAAGACTATCTTTTTCGAAAACCGACCAACATTTCTGACATGGGAAAAGTCAAGACGTTTCTTCTCTGCCTAGAAATCAGGGCTTTCTACATTCATATTTCAATCCTAGATTTTAACAGAGTACATTGAAATTCAAATAATTGTTAAAATTTTGTTGCCTACAGCTGGTACTCACAAGAAAACTTACACTTAGAAAGAGTTACTCTGTTTAACGTTGTTTAAAATAAGACAGTTTTATGCATAAGAAATAATGCAATCAAGATAATCGATTAGATATTCTGAGTGTTATTAAGCGGAGTTCTCATAAAATTACATCATTGATATTAAAATGTCACATGTATATGTCTGTTGCTTTTTCTTGTTTGTAGCTACTCACTACTTGAAACTTTTATTTTATTACTCTTCTCATAATATTCGAAGCTGAATATACTTACTTGCAAGGTGATACTAAAGTTTATAGGTCTTTTCTTTTGTGCTTGTAATCTGCTTAACGCTTTATTTATTACTGATAACGTTACTTGGTTTTTTCCCACACACGTATGTATATGTGAATCAATGAAGCATGACTTTTTCATTCACCTGCTCGTCGTCACATATATTTCGTTTTTCATATATACTTCCGTTTCTTTTACTTCTCATGTAAAAACAAATCGTAAAAAATCAAATTTTAATCAATATTTTTTTTATTTAAAATCGATTAAAATGAACCAATTTTCATCGGATTCTAATCAAATTAATAATCAAAAAAAACCTGATTTTAGTCAATTTTTTTACCGAGTAATGGATTAGAATCAATTTATTCTAATTATTAATTCGACTAAAATTCGATGAAAATCGTCTGATTATAATTTTTTTTCAATCTCTCCACATTCGCTAACTGTGCTTATATGATTCTTCGCTTTTAATCTATGTGCATTATTGCTGCAACTGAATCATTCATTTTAATCTCTCATTATCTGTTAATCCATTTTAATCTATTATTACCTACTAACTGATTTTAATCTGTTGCTTTCTATTATTAAATTATAATCTGTTATAACTTTTTGATGGGTTTTAATCGATTTCTGTCAGATAATCTATTTTAATCGATTTTCCTATGAAATTGCGAAAATGTGCGACTTTCTCGAGATTCAAACACAAAACCCATATTTTTCGACCACTTTTTCTTATTTGTGGTGCTTAGAAACTATGAAGTTAGCAATGCATCAAATTTCGACATTCAAAGTAAGTTTGGAAGTTCTAGTTAAATTGTTTTCTTCGAAATTGCGCAATTACATTCAAAAATCGATTAAAATAGATTAGATAAAAAATAACCGATTATAATCAAATGTTTTCTATAAAAAAATCAGTATTCGTAGAAGTATAATCGATTTTCTCTATGAAAAGATATTATCATTTATGTAATTATAATGGGTTTTAATCAATTAAACTTAAATAAGGGTGTGGAGGTGGGTGTGTCACGCTAGAGCTACTCACACCCACACCCTGCATGGAGCATCTTCATATAAAAGTCACTTCTCTCAATATATAATCGACAATTAACATAATCCAAACACTTCTGCAACATCCTATACCAAACTTCAGATGATGCTCTTTCAGATGAGTTCGAGCGTGAGTTCTCCTAGGACAAATCAGCCGTATTGTGGTTAATATGTCACTCTTGATAAATCAAAGCTCAAACTGAAACCAAAGTGAGGATCAGCTTTTCATGATTCTCCAAGGTATCACTATTGCAGCGAGTATTCTCACTAGATCCAGACGTCGGCATGAGTTTACTTTACGTAAACACTTTTGTTTTGTATGAATTTTGAGAGTAAGGGTTACTTATATACACTAGCCGTGTTCCAGAACTAAATATGCCAATCGATAGAGCGAACTTCACTCTATAAAACTGCATATTTCATTCTGAAACACGTCTAGTGTATAGAAGCAATTCTTACCCTCAAAAGTCGCAAAAAGAAACGCGTTTATGTAAAATAAACTTGTGCCGTTTATGCATCTAAAATATGCATTTCAGTGTGGTGTATCATATGATACCATCATATTTGATCATTTTGAATTTCAAGTTTAAAAAATGCGAATGTATTGAAAATCGTCTATTTTTAAGCATATAGGGAATAAAGTTGATCTAATTCAGTTTTTTGACTATTACAGCAAAAATATAAATGAGGATGCTTTTTCCAGATCTCCATCAGATAGAAGACATTTTTTGCTACAAAGTAAAGAATTTTGGGAGTTCTAATCAATATTTTAAAGTTTAAAACTAAAAAACTTGACATTTTCAAGCCAGATTAGACCATTCTTGGGTGATTTTTCAGGCTGATCTACAATAGACTGCTAAAAGTCGATCCTTGGACCACAATTATTTTGGGCTATTCTATGATATACCAAGGTCTAACTTGCTATGGGATCAGATTCAGGGTCTCTTCATCGCCATGTCTTTCGTGAAGTGTCTCATAATATACCTGATGATTAACAGTCTCAGCAACTGTTGAAATCAGTCGTATGATGTTTTGAATCTATCCACACAATTCTTATATAAATCTATGATATTATTTAACCACGACTTGTGTGTATTTTGCTACACATCTTGTCATAGTGTTAAATCTTGTATATTATTGAACTAATTTTCTTTGGAATCATTTATCTAATGAAAAGCCAACTGAACAAAGCCTTAAGCAAGATCGAAATCGATCTCGATATGTTTAACTCACTTGCTTTCACTTTCAACCCAAAGTATATTTAAGCATTATAATAGAATACTTGTTCTCAAATCACAACTTTTAGAAGAACTGAACGAGAAAAACTTTTGTAGTGTCCTATAATAAAATAAAATATAACAATAATGATCATCTTTTATTTCGATGTGAAAATACAATATGTTGATGCAAATTAATTTTGAATTTGAATATAAAGTTTATCGTTGGCAAATTTAAATTTATTTATTCTAGGAGATGATAATGAAGAAAGCCAATATTCAAGTTCATTTCGATTTTCAATAATTTTCTTTTCTAAAACACTTGTAGGTATTTGTGCTTGATATTTTTCACAATGAATTACTAATTCATTGATATTTATCAATTGATTTAATATTTTTTGTATATTTATACAAAAATCATCTTTTGATTGATTCAAATTTGTTCAATTTTTTTTATGGATCGAAAGTTTTGTAAAAAGTTAAAAATAACTTGACAATTATCTATTCATAGTGATGAGTTCAAAAATATTAATATTAATTCACTGATGTTAATCAGTTGTTTTATGCGTGGTAATGCTTGAATAGAAAGTAACTTTAAACAGACAAGTTTAGGTGTCATTGTGAGTAATCCATTCAATAGATCGATGCATGTTTCATGTAATGTTAGATGATTCATTTTATTTAGAACAACAAAATGTTGAATATCACTAATAATTGTTGATAGATCTAAACTTTTGATCAGACCTTGAATATCTATATTGGTTACATTTGAAAATACACGATCCGATTTCGTGTACGGTTGATCTTCGTTAATACCTATACAAAGAACATTCGTTTCTAATCACACAATACTAAAGATTAATCATCCATGTCTGTAAGCATGTGCAACTATTCTCCGAAGATCTGTTGCAATCTTTAATGAAACATAGTCGATAAAAGTGACGATATCAATTTTGAAATTTTCGTGGTTTTTTTGCTTCATGTTTTTTCTTTTCTTTCTCTGTTTTACTGAAAAGTCAATTTTTAAAGGAAATTAGTACTCGGACTAATGTCGATGTGCTAAGTTCGCTGTTGCTGCTCTTGAACATAAACATAACTGCTTTGTTGTTGTTAAGACAAGATAATGCATAGTCGTTAGCCATTCATGCTCTTCACAATGTTTTTTTACGTTTTCCATTCTACTGTTTTCTCTCAACACTTTTCATTTTATGTTGTTCACAAGTTTTCTTTTTCACATTTTTGATTTCACATAGACTTCTCGATTTTACAGTGTTTATTTTATGGTTTCGTTCCTATGATATGCTGGTTCATGGTTTATTGTATAACGGGGACGATTTCTGGAGAGAACTGAACAACCATAGTAACTTAAAATAATGAATATTGTCATGACGTTAACATTTTTAGGTTTCGATAGCTTCGATAAGGTTTTGGTTTAAAATTTCTCGAATCCCTCTCTCAAAAAACCAACATTTTTTGCAAAAACACCATAATAATCTGAACATGTCATCAGTAAGCCCATGGTCTATTCTATCAGCATTCATAATTATTTATTCTTCACCGAAGACGTATAAAATTTTCTTGAAAAACTAACTGCTCGAAAAATTTTACTTCCGGATAATGTAGAGCAGACATTTTCCAACTTCGAATAATATTTTAAACAAAAATTACGAGAGCTCTGCTAGAAGTCCTAAAATATACCAAAAATTTTCTTTTTCCATTTCTTTCAAAACACCTATTTGTCTATATATCTCCAACACCATCCGACTACTTCAAGAGATAGAAACAATTTTTTTTATTTGAACGTTTTTTTCATAAAATTTCGCAATTGCATCAAGTATTTTGACTTCATATATATATCAAAGAGTCAACAAAGAGGAAGATCAAAACAAGACGCTCAATAGTCACTAGCTCCAAGTGTCTCCTTTGAAATTAAAAAGTGAAATTGACGAAAATGACTAACAAAATCTGAGGATCAAAAATACTACTAGTACTAGTGTTACTAAAACGAGTAAAAAAAATAGGTAGGAGTGACAAAATACACTACTAAAGCTACTGAAAAGACTAAAAACCGCTTGCCACACGTGCATACATACGACCCAGGCAGATAAACTTTTGAGAAAACGCGTTTAAACGCACAGAAATTGGCCTAAAATCAGCAAAAAGTGGACGTTTTTGGCTCACACTTAAGGTTCCTGACTGTGTGCCGAAAACGCCCTTTTGTACTTTTAAACGCGTTTTCAGACAAAAAACGCGTTTACATACATATAAAAAAGAGAAAAAGTGGTCGTTTTTCATACGCGAGATGCACAATCATGATTACCGTCACGTTTCTTGAGCTTGAAAAACACAACAACATTTTTCTCGTTTTTATATCCGTGTAAACGTGTTTAAAAGTACAAAAAGGGCGAAAAATGGGCGTTTTTGACTCACAGTTGGGAACCTCAAGTGTGAGCCAAAAACGTCCACTTTTTGCTGATTTTAGGCCAAGCGTTTAAACGCATTTTCTCAAAAGTTTGTCTGCTTGAGGATACTATGTCACACAATACACGAATTCCGTTATGTCTAGGCATGTATCAGTGTTGATGCACTGGTCACTGATTTCATTGAAAATACTGATTCAGTGAGACACTCATTGCAATGACTTAACTCAGAGATAGAAAGCTCTATCTCAGCTGTCTTTATCTGAGTGCTGGATTCAGTGTCAGTGTGTCAATGTCACTATTTCGGTGTACACATCGACATTGATCCATCCCTAGTTATGTCTTAAACTAATATGTATCTGCTCGATTCGATGGTCTTTTCAATTATTATTCTGCAACATAAAAATTCGTATATCTATAGCATTCATAGTGTTCCTAAGTATAGGAGTCATCACTAACAAAACAGATTGCGATAATTTAAAGGAGTATCATATAAAATGATTTTCTTTCGCTATTGACTCACCGATCGATAATTGACGTACACTATCAAAATTTGTTTCCAGCACCGTCATCAATGACATTGTTTTTAAACCATATAAATTTGAATGAAATAATGATTTTGAATTAAATGGTAATGTATAAATATGAATACCTTTTTCATATATTTTACGTGGCATATCATAATCTACAACAATATTCCATTGACGAAAATAAGCACTTTGAAAACTGGTATTTGAAATAACAAAACTATTACTAACAAAACCAATAATATCTAATTCAACATTTTGTAATTTTGGCATTGATAATTGAAACAATTTTTGCCATATTTGATCATCTAATAAATTATAATTATAAAGTCCTCGGTAACTTTTAAATGATAATTTTTGAATAGATGAACATTTTTTAAGAAATTCAATTAGTAAATCTTCATTTGAATATGGCCAATCAACTTCAATTTTTAATTGTTCTAGAGTTGATAGTGATTTCGATAAGGATAAACTTGATTCATGATGATTTTTTGCCAGTACAACATCAAGTTTTTTCAACTGTTGTAAATATGTGACAAGATGAATAAGATCACTCGTATCAATTAATGGAATTATTAATATTTCAATATTTGACTTGACATCTGTAGGTAAAATTTGAGCATTAATTCTATAATAGAAACCAGGATGAATCAAATGACATGTATTTAATAATGGTAAATGAAATATAGAACTTAATAATTATTTTTCTAAATGTTTAATATCATCATTAGTATTCCATGAATCATCACTGACATCATCAAATATTATTTTAAAATATATAAGACGATTTAACTTTGATAATATAATACATAAATCATTATTGATTGTTGTACATTTTATTGTAAGATATTTAAGTTGTATATAATTCCCACTCGTTGTTCTATTAAAACGTTTCAATTATATTTCATCATTGAATATTAATGAATAAATATTATTTTGAAATAATCGAAAAATTTTTTGAAAATAATAATCAATTGTTCTATTAGTAATATTTTCTTTTAAATCAATTCTAAGTGTATGTACATGAATGAGTTCATTAATTCGACAACTTACACCATACAATGATCGAATAAGATCAAATCCATCTAAGTATGATAAGATTTGATAATAAATTTCATTTGGTAATTTATCAAATGACATTCTAAAATACTGTGTGAAATTATGATTATTTTATTTCATGATAAAAGTAACTTTTTTTTCTTCTTTTTACATATTTTAAAATGTTATAGATTCTTGTTACACACATAATCTTCCGAAACAAAAACATACAGTGCTCGTCAGAAGACAAGGTAAACATTTTCCACCAAAATTTAACAGGAATAGAGTTCAAAAAATTCTGAGTGCAAGCATCAATACGAGCGCGACGAACTTTAGTTTGAAAAACTACCTTTAATTTTGCTGATTTCGATCGCCATATTCGAAGAACTTTTAACCTGACTTACATTTATCAGCTGGAAGCAGAGGTATCCATGAAGTCACCACAATCCAGCACGGGCAGGGAGTGATCTCCTTCCCAATGTTGGGATGTTCTTCGGTTTCTTTCAACAGCATTCGGCGAAAATTTTTTGCGTTCTGCCGATTTTTGCTACCCCCCCACAATAAAAGATCCCTGGTCTTCTATTATGTCTAAACGGAAACTTTTTAGGGGGGTCTTGTATTACGACACTCGTATTTTTGCGAAATTCACGAGTATTTTCGAAGAATTCGGTAAATACAAGTTTAAGCTCAGACTCTACGGCTTCTCAGCTCCTATCATAGCAGCCAGAAGCTGGGAAAAGCATCACTATATCTTCCCAGAGCAACAAACAATACGGAGTAATTAAGATCAGCGGCTATATTATTTTTAAATTCTGTTATTTCTAGTTTCTATTCTAAATATTATGTTTTTAAGCTTTGTATAGCTCACGTATATTTCCGAAGAAACTAATAGTAACCGTAAGTTTGAGTCAAGGTTTTTCAGCTTGTTCCGTTTTTGCAATAGATGCAATAGCAATCACTTAGATTTAAAAGATTGTGGAAACTTCTGGAATATTTTGATTATCCATAGTTCGGATATTGTTATGAGTATTAGCAAAAAGCTAGTCTCCTCTTTTTGCGCAGATGAGAGTTTATATGATTCATGAGAAAGATAATCTTTTGTGATTTTTCATAACTGTAGTATAAGTTACATCAAAGCGTGATTACACTACTTCCTAATGTTTAGAAATATTTATTTTATGTCTTACACTGTACATCAATATGCATACAAGATTGTTAGAATCTGGAGAAGATGCAACCAATGTCTATACTAAGCTTATTTAACTATTAAGTTAAAGCGTGAGTCGAATAATACGAAATAATTATAATCTCGATTAACAGAAGAATAACACAGTGAAGAGCGACAAGAAAAAAATCACGTATTTGGAAAAAATCCTTGAAATGTACGAATAGAAACTGCTATATATTAACCACTGTGATCAATGTTTCTTTAGAAATTTAACATTCTGCATTGGTTTTATTAATATTATAAACATATTCAAGAAATCTGATAAGTGGAGCGAAGGGAGAGGTACTAATTCGAAATGGAATAGTTTCGTTGGGATAAAATTTTACAGCGTATGCTTTAACTCAAATGATAGAATTAGCTGCAATCTATCCATTTATTTGATATCTTTTGATGATAAACTTTTCCATACATTTTTAGGAATATAATATAAACTTTTAGCAGTCTGAGCCTCATAAGTACTAAACTTTGGCTCCACAACAGCGACGCTAATCAGTTTTTGTAATTAAAAGAATTCTCTGCGAAAAAAAAGCGATTTTAAAAATTGGGAAAAAGATTTTCACGATTTTTGAAGCTTATATATAGAGTTGAACTTATGGATTTGAAAATTTTCAGCTGAAAACTCCACAAATAGACAAGTTTTGGGGTAAAAAAAACTAATGAAAATCTTCAGTTCTCAAAAAAAAATCTTAAAAATTGGAGGGACTTCTCAGAATTTTTTCTCAAAGGGGTCTTCTATTATGGGGGGGGGTTTACATCATTCCGTACTTTTCTCAACATGTTCGAAAAAAAACCAAGTCTTCTCAAAATTTGTCGAAACAAATTGAATTTTTAACTGGCAAAATAGCGTTTTGTGAGTGAAAAAATATATATTAGAAATAGTGGCAAAAAATTTTCGACTCCCGCTATGGGCAGCTCTTCCACAATCAATGTGACTTTTGCGCTGTAAGATAGAACTCATATTGGTTGTGATGACCTCATGAATACCTGTGCTACGAAGTGATTAGCGTACGTCGGTCAAAAAAATTCTTCAACTATTAGGAACGAAATCAGCAAAATTGAAAGTAGTTTTTCAAACCGAACCCTATCGGGCTCGAGTTAGTACTTGCATTCACAATTTTTCGAGCTCTACTCCTGATAAAATTTTGGTGAAAAAGGGTTTAACTTGCTCTGTTCTTTACTTTTTTTTTTCAAACATAACAAAATTTATGTGAGTACTTAGTCACTAAAATGAGAAATGAAAATTGGATAAAAAAGCATATTTTTTGTCGAAAGATTATACGCGTAACGAGCATCCATACCATTTTTGAAAAACATATGTATAGGCACTGCACTCCACCGATCAAGTGAGTGGAAGTCAGGCCTCACACCAAAGCAAAAATGTTGTTTTTTTTGTGTCAAAAACACAAAATGTCTAGTATGAAAAAATGACGGTCGACGTATACTCATTGGTAAAAAAAATATTGTATTGCTACTTACCTTTGGCTCGATCATATGTATTCTGTTTCGTTTCTGCGCTGCGAAATATGACATTCGATCACTTTATACGCTCTCATTGCAATTACGTGAGTTGCACACTATAATCGCAATGGTTAGATTCTTTTTCGTAATAGCATTAATAACTTGTTTTTATGTGTGCGTAATGTCTTCTGTTTATTGAGAATGAAAACTTGAAAAAAACAATCCAGTATATTGATATAAAAAAGCCAACTTTCTGTTCCATATTAAGTTTCTAGTGATTGAATTCAACACCGACAGAGATAAGTAGATAAATCACTTCTTTTAGCAGGGACCTTGAGGGTGAGGGAAGTCAGTCAAACAAATACTGATCCAGAAAATGAAAATAGTTTGAAAAATTTAACTAGAGTAATTTAATGTTTTTGATTTTTTTTCACCTAACCGTGTTTGACTATCGGAAAAAAATATTGTTAAAAGAAAAAAAAATTTATCTAGAATAGATAAATCAGGAATGTTAACGTGAATAATGTACGATAATGTTCTTGTTTATTTATGTGTGTGTGACAAAAATTTGACTTATAGACTAATCATAGGAAATAGAATAAAAAAAGAAGTATCACAGTGTTTTTATTAATGATTCGTGAAAGAATTCAATCAGTTATAGTTTTGGAAGATACGGGCTTCTGCGTACGAATTCTTTGATCAGATTTGGATTATTTTGAGAACCCTCGATGAGTTTTATTTTTTTATCACTGGTGGTATGTACTGCAAGAAATCATTCCATTTCTGTTGAATATCAAATTAACGAATCACAGTGTTCGCGACAGAGGACGTCTTTCTACTGAAGGGTACTGTAAAACATGTTCACATTCAGAACAGAGAAGAGTTTACAAACATGCAATGGAAAAAAGAAGTTCCTTTTTTTGCCATTGCATTTTATCACTATCTGATACACTGTATTAAGAAAAACAAAATATACTACAAGATGCAGTGTGAAAAGCTCTACAATTTACAAAAGAAAACTTATTTTAGTTTTATACTTTTTCTTTTGAAAGAAAAAGCAAAACTCCGTGAGACCAGTTTTCGCGATTTGCGAAAAAAACGTTTTTGTCTACACGAACGAGAATTCTTTTCTTTTTATTCCATCTTTTTTATCATCTAATATGTTTTTGAAAAAAAAAACAAAAGATGCAGCGTGAAAAGCTCTACAATTTACAGAGTAAAGCTTATTATAATTAATTTCAAAAAAAGGCAAAATTTTATGCAATTATTTTTTACAGCGCTGAAAACCGGCTACATGAAATTTTGTTTTTTTGTTCTGAAAACAAAAGATATACAATTGAGATAAGCTTTACTTTGTCGAGTTTAGAGCGTTTCACGCTACATCTTTTGGTATATTTTGTTTTCTTTTCATAAAAAGTACTTAGAGATTGAAATATGAAAGTGGACCATTTATTATGGGCTACCCGTTAAAACATTGTTCCAGATAACGTATTCATTACGATCTACTCTAATCGATGCATGAGTGCAGAGAATACACAACCCCAAATCTCACATCATGATTTCATTTAATTTAATACGTTCACGGGACAGAGTGATCATGAAGCAATTATTTCAATAGAGAACAATCTAAAAAATATCTTTTCTTGTTGTGAATATAGAAAAGAAAATGTGTAAATACAGCCATTAAGAATCAAATATATAATTCTATCTTTTAATAGGAAATTGTGAAAATTCTTTAAAGATATTGCAATACAATGCTTCATGATGTCTAATGAGATGTACTATATTTCTGAAAGCAGTGAAAGTTTCACACATTTATCAAACATTTTCAAGCAAAACATTTTATTTTAATTTAAAAAGAAAAATGAAAGTTCATTGAATATCACCTGATAGATAAGATTTTGTCAAAATCATGATATCGATAAACACAAGAAATATCTTACTATCCACTCGATGGTGGATATGTTGGACAAACGCATACACATTGATTGTCAAAACTATTAACTAAATCACAAGAAACACATATATGAGCAGATGTCGTACGATTTTTTTCAGTACTAATCGATGAGCATCCAACATTGACCATAGGTCCTTCAAGTACTGTTTCTATAATAAGAAACACAAGTATTTTTTATATTTTAAAAACTAAAAATAGTTTTTAACTAACTTGCATCTAGACGCGCTCGAGCTCGAATAAATCCTGTTGTTTCATCTCTCACATACCAAAGTTGTTGATTATCAAAAAAATTATCATTGATTTTTATCTGTGTATTAGTTGGACATCCTTCTGAACAATCGTTTACCGAACCAAATGTTGCAGGTATTATATCACATTGACCATTGTTTAGAAGACCAATTGAGCCTTTTCTAGTCATATAGTTTCCATTGATACGTTGTTCATTCAATCGATTTTCTTCATCAATTCGAACTTTATCAGCTGCTGCAGTACGAGATTGAATGATTTTTCTTAAATTTTCACGCACACTCGAATCAATTTCAATAACATCCGACCAAGGTACATATTCTTCAATTTTCAACAAAGCCGGATTAGCAACTAATGTTTGTTGCCAACGTGTTTCGTTCTTCTCAGTAGGATCACCGCCAAGCCAATGATCAACAGAAATTTTTCGACGATCAGCATAAAAACTATTTCCAAGTGTTTCAGAAAGAATATCTTTTTTAAGATAATCATCTAAATTATCTGATGTAATTGCACCATTAAATGAAAATACACAATCTTTAAAAAGAACTTGTTGTTCATGCATTCCACCTATATCAATTAAAGTAAATCTGTTAGCTTTTTTTTTTAGATTTTGAAACTTACCAATAAGAGATTGTTGCACTATATGTGTACCCCAATTTCGTAAAAAATCACTATATAAAGTTTCATCATATGTCGTTGGTAATCTTGCTATGGCTTGTTTAGCATATGTATTTAATTGAAGATTTTCAACACGTAATCGATATAAAACATTTGGTTTTTGTGTAATAGATGTTGCTTGATTATTTGAAAAAAATCTATTGTAAATATCAGCTAATGATTTTGAATGACCGAATTCTCCACCTAACCAACTTCCTCTTAATTTTTCATATTTCCATTCATTTGATAATTCAGCAGCTGTAAGAAAAACACGAGCAATAGGGTTATTTTCATCCTGGCTAATTTCAGGAAAAGTTACTCCACGAGGAGCTTGATATACTATATTTGAGATCGGATCTGTCCAATAGTTGTTTCCAAGATAGGTATACTCCAACGCAGGAAGAAGTAGTGTACCTGTTGTTATATCAAGAGTCATACCAATACCAATTGGTAACTTAAAAAAATTACAAATAAATTTTAATATCAATTATTTTGTAAGCTTGAAAAAGAAAATATTTACTCTAGTAGCATTTTCTGCTATTAGACCTCGCCCTCTTATTTTTGATCCAAGACACTCCTTTCCTTCATATCCGATATAGGGACATAAAACATTCTTCGCTTCTTCGTAATTTACTATTGGGTTCTCACGTTTTGTACGAATTTGATTTCGACTACATTTTGTTTTCGGTGGACCTCGTAGATTTTCTAATTGATTGACATAATTACGATCTTCTTTTTCAGCTATTTTTAAAACATAATCAATTGCTGCTTTAAGTGCATTACGTAGATCACTTTCTGGTAGAATTTCATCGAATGACATAAGACGATAAGAAATAGGACGGGGTTTTGTTTTTATTGTTGGAACCCATGTTTCCCATTCAGATGGATCCATAGACTCGGTACCACCAAATAATTGAGATGAAGATATAGAATGTTGTTGAAAACGTTTATCAATTTGTTGTCTATAATCGTATGTATCTCGGCTCCCTGTGAAAAACAACCAATTCCATGAGACTTGTTCGTCAATCCATGTTTGTGTATGTTCATAAGTTAAACATTTTTCATACCATGTTTCTGTGCAAACTTGACCGCCCATATTAGATGATACAACAACATGTGTCCCAAATATATTAAAAAAATCTTGCCAAATTCGTAAATCTTTTAAATCAAAATGTGTTGGTAAATTATCAAAGGCTGCTTGAGCTGTTGGATTTAATTTTGGATATGGAAATGCTGTTACTGATAATGTATACCAGCCAATTTGTTTCATTCGAAGTACTAAATTGTAATAATCTTGATAGAAACGACGATAAAAATCAGTTACTGTTCTTTGAGTACGTTTTCGACCAATACCTAAAAAACCACCTGACTTTCTAACAGTAACTGTTCTTGTCCAACGAAAATAATCTTCTACAGATGTTACTATAATTGAACCGTCCAATGTTAATGATTCAGGAGTATTAACAACAAACCATCCATTAGGTATTGAATAAGTTAAAGTTTTATTGTATGGATCTGACCATGTTTCATTTTCAGTGAAATTACTTTGATCAAATATACAATATTTACTTTCCAATAGAAGAGGATCATATCCACAACCAACAACATCAAGTCCAATTATAGAACCTTGAGGTTTTTGTGGTATTAAAGAATTACGACGTTTCCTTTGACCATTCAATTCAGTTAATGTTGGCATTACTCCTTTTTGTAAATAAAATTCAATTGTTTTACGTAAATGTTCTCGAACTGTTGATTTATTTTTGATTAAATTATGAATAGAAAATAATGTTCGATTAACTACAATTGGATAATTACCAGCTGTTTTTTGCCATGTTCTATAAAGAAAATATTTATTATAGATTTGTAACAGTCCTATTTAAAACTTACTCCCAATCTGATTTATTTTCTTGGCTTGCTACTGGAGGTTGAAAAACGGATAATGTAGCTGCAGTGGTCTTAAATTTTTCTTTCATTGAAGCCCAAATTGCACCTAAATTAGATCCAATTTGACCATTATATTGTTTATATTGAAACATTAATCTAACTTGACTTGTTCTTTCTTCATATGAAGATTCTTTATAGTAACTTGAGTCCATTAATGTATATAAATGAGCTGTACCACCAACAATAATACGAGAAACATAATGTGTTCCATATGTTTCAATAAATTGATTATAATATGCTTGATGATCTTCATTAGATGGATTCGATGCTTCAGAAGCTAATAAATCAACACTTTGAATAAACATTGGATCCAATCTAACAAAAAAAAAATACAACTTTAATTTAAATAATATTTATCTCATGTATAAAAAATTTTACTTAAGAAGAGAAGGAAGAGCAAGTTCAACTGAATAAAGACCCCACCATATTGTTGATACTCCTACAGCTTTTTCACTTTTTGTTATGGCTTCTTGAATTTGTTTCAACGTTTTACTATACCCTACTGCAACATTAATGACACCAGGAATACCTATTCCAATTCCAAATGATGTCGATTGAAAATAACTAAACAATACAAAAACAAAAGTTGTTAGTGCAATCATTGTATGATGTAAATGTGAAACACGATGTAGTTGCTTTGTTCTATGTAGACGTTATCGACACGCGGTCATTAATCGTTTATCAACAACGTCTGTTACGATCTGTGCGAAGGTAGAGTGGGTAAATGTATGCAAAAAGATTCTGATCATAGTTTTGATGATAACAGAACCATTATTCGTATTGGAATTGCAACTGTGATCAAATTTTCGTCGACTGATACTGAGACTGGCATCAAGATTAATATTCTTTGATAGGAAGTGATATGTTTTATGGTTGTGTAAGATTTACATCATCTATCTATCTACCACGGGAAAAATTAACGCAAATCGTATTTTTGATAGATATTTTCATTAATATTCTACCATGAAAAATATAAGTCATTCAGCAAATTGTTTCGTCTATAGGGCTTTGTAGAGCTCGTTTCGCTGATCATTTTGGTAAAAAAAATATTCAAATTTGCCCAATAAATAACGAAGTTTGGAGCACAATACTCAAAAATACCAATCACTACTCAGCAGCGATCACAAACAGTCGAAAGTTTTGAGTATTTTGATCCAAACCCCGTTATTTATTGGGCAAATTTGAATATTTTTTTTTACCAAAATGATCAGCGAAACGAGCTCTACAAAGCTCTACAGACGAAACAATTTTCTGAAAAACTTATATTTTTCATGGTAGAATATTAATGGAAATATCTGTCAAAAATACGACTTGCGTTAATTTTTTCCGTGGTAGTATATATCCCCCTAGCCAAAATAAATTAAACACTTTGTTTTTGCCATAACTTTTCTCTGCTAACATGATTCGGGCTCATATTTATATCATAGATAGATATTGGAGTGCTCTACTTACTGCCAAAATTTCAACTCTATCGAATGAGAATTTCTCGAGAAATCTACAAATTTGTTGGATG